TTGATTCTCCTCCTGTCCCACTATCATGCTCAGTCCCCACCAGGATTTCAGCACTTCCTCTTTGTTATGTTCCCCTTGATCCTGCCCTACCAGGTCTCCCACACCCACCTCCCCACCAATTTGGATCGCTTGTTGTTCCCTTGTCCCTGGGTTTCTTATCCGAGTAAACCATATTTAAAGTGAAAAACCTAAGCCCAGTATCTTATAAACAGCGTGTTTTTATATATATACAAGGGGTCCTCAAAAAGTTGATAAAACATGGAATTAGAAGATAATCTAATTTTTCCACAAACTTTTGAAGTTTACAATTCAGTCCATCTAAAGAGAGAGAAAAGGACTTAAAAAACATGGGCTAACATCTTTTTGGTTATTTTAACCATTTTTATTTTACTTTTTAACAGTTTAAGTGGCATATAATTTGCATATCATGCAATCTAATAATCCCATCAGAGTTTCCATTTCTAGGCTTATTTCTTTTGGGTCGTACATAGTAGGGATTTAGAACTTCCAACTATTCTTTTTAAGGTTTGGAGCAAATGAGTAAATCTAGTGACAAATATGGAACAGAGAAAGACAAAAGTGTTTGGACTGGGATTGGAAATAACACACAAACTCATGAGTCCCTCGCTCTCTGCACACTGGATTTGAAGCAGTGTCATCTCATAACAGCGATCACAGTCAGTCCCCAGATCATGGTTTCTAAATCCCATTCTTCACCCAAAGGGACAAGGTCTCCCTGGATTAGGAAAACGATGGAGGCATGTCAATAGGACATAGATCAGTGTGAAGGGACTCGCTCTGGCCAAGTCTCAAACTTCTTGAGCACCAGTATATAACAGATTATAATCCACTGAATAAAATGGAACTGTTGAGTTCCATCATTTATTCAGAGCTGCCTCAGTGGGTTAGAACATTCAAACTTTCAGTCAACAAAGCCTGTTAACTGCACTATCCAAGGAGGGAACACCCTTCCAGTAGAATGTCAGATAATAAAAGAAGGGATTTAAAAAAATCATTTTACTGGGGGCTCATGCAGCTCTTATCATAATCCATACATACATCCATTGTGTCAAGCACATTTGTACATTTGTTGCCATCATCATTTTCAAAACATTTTCTTTCTACTTGAGCCCTTGGTATCAGCTCCTCATTTTTCCCCCTCCCCCCCCCACCTTCTCTCCCTCACGAATACTTGATAATTTATAAATTGTTATTCATTAGAAGAAAGGATTTTGAAATTAGGAAGTTGCCATTTGGCAAGTAAGGTAAACCCTTAATTCAGATATGAATTACCTATGGATGCTAACCCTAAATAGGGAACTTTAATGATTAAGATACATAATTTCAAAGTATCACTTATGTCATACTTAATAACTTCAAAAGGGAAAATAGTAATTATGCAGTGATCAAAATTAATATCTCTATGTGGGACAAGTGACTATCGTGTACCTTTAGAAAGATAACAGTATGACTAGTCAAAGAAGGCATAACCTAAATTTAATTAGAGAAATCATGAAATCCAGCAAACCTACATTCCGGGGTATTTGATAACTGACAATATCAAGGTCCTGAAAAATGAAGGTGGAGGAACTGTTCCAAGTTAAAGACACATGTCATAATAACTAAATACAACGACTTATACTAGTTGCCTTTTGTTATAAAAAAACATTATCAAGAGAGTTGCCTAAGTTGCGACATGAACTGTGACTATGATAACCACTTCCGGGTTAAATGGCCTGAATTTGGTAACTGCACTGTGCTTGTAAGGAGCCCTGTGGCACAACAGTTAAGTCCTCAGCTGCAAACCAAAGGTTGATAGTTCAAACCCATCCAGGAGCCTCAAGTGCCTAGGGACTTGTATGGGGTAGTCCTCTTCTGTCACATGGGGCCACTGAGTTGGAATCAGTTTGAAAGCATGTAACAAAAATGGTTATGTTTTCTTCTTTTTAAAATAACACACACACCCCAAAGCCCCCTTGTTCCCGGGAAATACACACTGAAGTCTAAAGGGACATGGTGCAAACAATCTACTTTCTAATGTTTCTGAAATATCTAGGGAGAGAGGGTGGGGGTGGGCAGTAGAGAGATTGAAAAAGGAAATGTTGTAAACCGTTAAAAATGGGTCAAGATGGACAAAGACTATATAGGAATTTGGGGGGGGGTCACCAGCTTTTCTGCCCATTTGAAATTATTTCAGCAAAAAGAGAAGTAGAAGAAGCTGGACAGTAGGTCGTCGTGGTTCCAGGGGAAGATGCTTGAATTAGTACATTTGAAATGATGAAGTCCCTTGCCTGATGGGAGGTGCTGAAGGAGGGCATTGAACATGCTGGGATAGCGCTGCCGTAGTTTCTAGTGTGCTCTGCCTGATTTTAAGGTGCTTGAAACCATGAGTTATGTTCCAGTATTCCTGTTTCCCCGGAATCTTCTTGGAGCAACAGCTCGCAAGTTGGGTTTTTTAGCTGAAATGTTGACAGACTTCTCAGGGTCGTCTTTTTTCGTTCTCTTGTAGGACATCGGGGACACACTGAGCAGGTACATCATGTTAAATCCAGCGCGGGAAGACTGTCTCCCTCCCACCTGGGATGGACATGTTCCCAGAGTGACCCTTCTCTGCAGAGTCCCTACCGTGCAAGAACTGGACACGTCAGCTGCAGCTCTTCTCAGAGACGAATTATGGAGAGGGGGTTGGATAGGAGGCAGCACATCAGGATGGTGCTCATGGTTCAGGGGTGGGGTGGAGTTTGGCAGCGTGCAAGGCGAGCCTCTGGTTGTTGCTCATGAAGCACATCAGAATGATCTCCCTTTCGTTTTGTTTTTGCTTTTCTTACAAGGGGGAGAGTAGAGCCGAAGTTGTTACCAGCTAAGACAACACATCACCTGTTGGTGGTGAGCCGGCCGAGTTCTAGCTCAGAGAGGGATTACGTCTCTGCTATACCGTCAAACTGAAAGGGAGGAGGAGGTGTTGGCTGTGAGTTGGGGCATGACTGAGCAGGGAGAGTTCAGAGTGAACAAGTGTGTGCACAGTGGATGGCAAGGGCACAGGGGATAGGCATTCGGAAGAGGGCCTTGAGTGGAGGCTGGCTTTGAAGGGCCTGCACTTGGAGGTTGCTTAGAATCCTGAACAATGAAGAAGACAGGTTTAATCATGGCACTTTGAGGCCACCTGGGATGGAGCTGCATTAGGGTTTGTCAGGCCAGGCGTCCTCAAACTATGGCCCGCGGGCCACGTGCAGCCCGCCGGCTGTTTTTGCCCCGTTTATTTTTTTACTCAAAATAAGATGTGTGCATAGGAATTTGTTCACAGTTTTTTTTTTTTAAAAAACATAGTCCGGCCTTCCAGCGGATTGAGGGACAGTGAACCGGCCCCCTGTTTTAAAAAATTTGAGGACCCCTGGTCTATGCAGTCAGATGACCTAAACAAATACGGCTTTTGTCTCCCACTTGTTGAGGCCAATCTAGTTTTGACCCAACATCACAGAACTAGACCCCTCAACTCTGGCAGCTTGTGAGACTAAGGATTGAGTTTGGCTACTTAAGAGGAAACCCCAAACTTCAGTGGCTTACAGCGTAGATACGATAAATTCTTTTGTCACCATATAAAATTTACCTAAGTGGATAACAGTTGTTCCTTCTACCACTTCTGAAGTGTGGTCCTCATTCTTGAGTCTAAATGCCAGCCAATGGAAGCCATCACCTTTTTACCAGACTCCTCAGATTACCACCAGTGCAATGACAAGGTCACTTCTAATTGTAAGGGAGAGGGAGTGGGCTTTCTTCAGCTTGATAAGAGTTTAAAGCTAGGAGAGGGAATAGTTGGGTTGGCAGCTGGTGGTCTTTGCCATAGAATGCTTTTGGGGGTGGGGCGGGGGAGCATGTAGGGGATCATTGAGTGTTCTCCAGTGAATACCTAACACGCTGAAAGTGCCACCCCCCTATAGATTGGTAAATCAGTTTTGAGAAGTTGCTGCCTATGAAGTTGGGAGTTAGGGTGTTTGGGATCCGAAAATGAATCGGGTATTAATTACCCTTGTTTTGATCTACAGGATCTGCCTAGGAGGACAATGGGGGTGAGGGGTGGGGAAGTGGGTTGATTTTTAAAGACGGTGCACTTATTTTTTTATTTATTATTAATTGGGAGTTGATACAGATATCCTATCATTCCATAGTTTGATCACATCAAGCAGTGTTGTACAGTTGCTGCCACAATCAGTTTCCATACTGTTCTCATGTTTAACCCAGACCCTATTCTGGTTCCTTGGAGTTGGGAAGAGTATTGACTCCTTTTTAAACATTTTAAATTTAGGGCTGAGAGGATCAGGATTCCCGAGCCCTGGATCACACCTCCAGATCTTCAAGAGAAAATCCACATTTTTGCCCAGAAATGTCTGTTCTTGACTGAGAGTCTGAAGCAATTCACAGGTAGTGTGAGGGGAGTTGGGTTTATGTCTGAACCTCCCCTGGTTGCATGAAAAGACACATTTGTCAGCCAGAGAGTGGGGTGCAAACTCAGTATCTTCTGTCCTTTCCTCCCTGTAGAAAAAATGCAGTCGGATATGGAGAAGATCCAAGGTAAGTGTATCTAGCGGGCGTTTGATGTGGGTGTGTCCTGGAGCAAAGGGCGAGGTCGGCATGGCAGGTGTGGGGAAATAGATCCGTTGATCAGCTTCCCCAGAGTTTCCACCTCTTTTTGTCAAGTTCGTTTTGGAAACACCCGCCCCCACCCTGTTAGCAGCCTCTTGTGTGAACTAGAGACTGATAGCTGTATTCAGTCATTCAGTGATGGAGGTGCTGATGGAAGAGCAGGGCTGAGGCAGCCCGAGGGAGTGGTTTGAGCGGTCAGATTTCAGGTTCTGGGCTCAGCTCTGTCCCAGCGAACGGATCCTCCACCATCATTTCCCACTCTGTAAAACAAGGTGAGTGCGAACTGCGCTGGTCTCACCTACAGAGGGATCTTACTTGCTTTCCCATCTTCTCCCGTGGAAGTTACGGTGAGCCCTCAAGGACTGGGAGCACCCAGTGCCTTGCTGTGCTCACCTGTGAGTGAGTTGTTGCTGACCTTTACTGACCACCGTGCTTACGCAGGGCAGATTCAGGAGATGGTCTGTGACTCACCGTGGGGTTGATTCAGGCAGGACTTTCGTTGACCTTTGTGATACTGCCACTTAACAGGTTCCCTGAGAACCGGTCTGTGAAAAGAATGTTCTGTCCACTCTAAAGGGCTTTGTAAATGCAATCGTCTTCCTTGTCCCAAAGTCTGCCGGCGGGTGTTACTGGAGCTGCCCAATGCCTGACTCGGGTGGCCTATGAAAACTAAAAGTTGTACATCCTGGCTTTGGGACCCTCTTTGCCCCCTTGTAGAGCCAGCTGGCCCATTGCAGGGTGGGATCCTTGACCTTGGCTTCATTTGACTATATTCTACCAATCACACACGTGGTCATTCACTTTCCTTGGCACTCCTAGGTGGATGGAGGAGTCCTACATGATAGGGGAGCGGAACAAAGAATCAGGGCATGACTGCAAGGAAGGCTCTGGGCTTCCCGGTAGAGACTGCTACTGTATGAGAATTCTAACCAAAGTGCCCTCGGCTTTGTGTTTCTGGGAAATTCTCCCATGGCTGCTGTAAATTCCTTTTCTCTCTTGTTCTTTCAGAATTGAGAGAAGCCCAGTTATACTCAGGTAGGTATGACACCAGACAAAGCCATTGTCAGAGAAAAGGAAAATCCCTGTGAACTTAATGACTGTTGTGGATAACTTTGGAAATTGCCTAAATTTGGGTCCTTTAGGCTACCTAGGATTTCTGGTGGTGGCACAGTGGTCAAGCACTTGGCTGCTAACCATAAGGTTGGCAGTTCAAAACCCCTTAGCACCTCCAAAGGAGGCAGATGTGTCTGCCTGCTTCTGCGACGTTTGATGCCCTTTGGAGGAACCCTGTGGAGGGGCAGTTCTATTTGAGTTAGAATCAACTTGTTGGCACAGGTGTGGGATTTGGAGGGGTGGGGGAGAGGGGCATTCCAGGTTAAGGGTGTGAACATTATAATGACAACAAGACCACTGCTTATTTCTAGGCACTTATAATATCTTTGCTTATGAAATGCCTCAGAGCTAAAGCCTGTGGCGCTTTTGAAACCAGGGAGAAATCAAGCTCAGTTGCTGTGAAGGGTTACAGGATAGAAACTAGCTCCCCTCAAATTGAGATTCCTGGTGTACTGGTCCGCCTTCCCAGCCTCAGAGGTAATTTGTGGTTTGAGAAAAGCACTCCCCCTTCCATAAGGTGTGGTTCAGGCCAACACTCCGTGTGAGTGCTAAAGAGAATGTAGGGATCCTGTGTCTCCTGGCTTCTACTCTTGGGGTACGAATGTGTATTCTTCCTCCTCCACCCTCAGGTTCACCCTGGGGTTCCGAGAGACTAGGCAGCTTCTCCGCTCCCAGAGATCCTCAGTCTGAGGTGTGTGAACATGTCAGAAAACCCCAGATTCCATTTAAAATGGATATCGTCATTTATGATGTGGATGAAATTTCTGTACTTTGGAAATAAAATATGCTCACTCATAAAGGTAGCAGCCAATCCAAACAGTAGTGGTTGAAACATTAGTGTCAGAATGCATCTCCTGTTGTGATGACTGCCCACTGCAGGGGGGAGCTCTTAGCCTTTCCTCCGGAGAGTCCCAGAGAGGGCCCTCTGGGTCCGCTTCTCGCACTGACCTTCCCCTCTGTCTCTCGCAGTGGATGTGACTCTGGACCCAGACACGGCCTACCCCAGCCTGATCCTCTCCGATAATCTGCGGCAAGTGCGCTACAGTTACCTGCAGCAGGACCTCCCTGACAATCCCGAGCGATTCAATCTCTTCCCCTGTGTCTTGGGCTCTCCGTGTTTCATCGCTGGGAGACATTATTGGGAGGTAGAGGTGGGAGATAAGGCCAAGTGGACCATCGGTGTCTGTGAAGACTCCGTGTGCAGAAAAGGTGGAGTCACCTCAGCCCCCCAGAATGGATTCTGGGCTGTGTCGTTGTGGTATGGGAAGGAATACTGGGCTCTCACCTCCCCGATGACTGCCCTCCCCCTACGGACCCCTCTCCAGCGGGTGGGGATTTTTTTGGACTACGATGCTGGTGAGGTCTCCTTCTACAACGTGACTGAGAGGTGTCACACTTTTACTTTCTCTCATGCTACCTTCTGCGGGCCCGTCCGGCCCTACTTCAGTCTGAGCTACTCGGGAGGGAAGAGCGCGGCCCCACTGACCATCTGCCCCATGAGTGGGATTGATGGGTTTTCTGGCCACGTTGGAAACCCCAGTCATTCCATGGAGACCTCCCCTTGAAAGGAGATGAACTTGGGCCCGAATGACCCACGGCCAAACTCCAGCCCAGGCACATGGCACCTCATTGTCTTGCCATTCTCTGTCCGGCACAGCTGGACAGCCTGACCACTTTCCGGCCCTCGCGGTGGAAGACGGGCTGTCCGTGTGCTCCACTGCCCTTTCCCACTCCAGGCAAATTGTAATGAGAAGTTTCAAGGTTGCCCAGAAATAAAAACCAGACGTCCACCTCCAGTGTTTCACCCTTTTTGGTCTTGCACAGTGCTGGAGGGGGCTTAAGGAAACCAAACTCACTGCCGTCAAGCCCCCCCTATGATATGGCAGGGGAGAAATGGCTCCTTGGGTTTCCAAGACTCACACCTGCCGGGAGTGGACGGCCTCGGAGCTGGAGGAACATACCTGTCCCTTCTCGGCCCAGCCTAGCCTCCTTTGGTTCTGCCCCAAAGTCGCAGAACAGCTGTCATGGGCACTTATGACATTCTGGGAACCCATGCCCCTTTCCAAGAGCCTAGTGTGGAACTGTGAGGCTGTTGGCATGATGTCTTATATCCCAGTTTCTCCTTCTGGGAATAGTACTTCTCTCCCCTGATTCCCCATGTGCCCGTTTTATTCACTCCATCAGAGAGGTGTACGTGTGTCCTGGTTAGCTACAGCCCCTGCAGTCATGTTGGGGAAAGGCACCCAGTCTGCAATAGAGAGAATCTGATGAACATGCCCATGTGTCTTTCCCGAGAGCTAAGCCTGCTCTCTTGGTTCTAGTGAAAATACGTTTTAGTACGGAGGGTCTTATCACCCAGGGTAATTATCTGCCCAATACCATCCACTGTCCCCAGATCGTCCCCAGGTCACTTGTGTGGAGAGGTGGCCAGACCTGCACTCTCCCTGGAAGGGTTTTGGGCAAATATCCCAGGTATTCACCGACTCCCTGTCTCCTTGAGGAGATAGGGCTGTGTGGTCTTTCTACGTGTGTACCATCAAAGGGCACTTCCATCAAGGGCTTCACTACTTGATCGCATCGTTTCCTGGGATCAGAAAGCTGAGGCTGATTCCTTTGAGCAAGCCCCCATGATGTGTCTCAGTTCTGCTCTTTGGGTACATGACCCGCTGCCTGACAATAAAGTGAGTGTGGGTGTTGTTTACATTGTCGTGTGCCCGGCCTGGATAGGATTGGGTTCATAACTGTTGGAGTGAGTTGAAAGGGAGCCAGGCAGGGAGGGTGGGGGGGAGCGGTTAGTGATTGATCTCGCAAATAGATCCAGAACCTTCTGATCAACATTTTATTTCCAACTAGATAGTAACCACTGCTTTCCCAGGACCAGCTCACTCTGAGAAAGTAGTGTTGGATACCCACAGCCTAGGGCTCTATGTTGGTTTGTGCTGTAAGTTCACTAGGAAAATATTGCCTCAAGCCATTTTTGTAGTTGGCAGCTGGGTTGTGCTTGGCTGATCAGAAGGTCTAGAACCACCCACGCAAGCCCAAAGGGTTGCTTAAAAGACCACATGCAAAAAAAAAAAAAAAAGGCGAGATTAGGTGAAAAGACAGCTCTAAACCAGGAATTTGGATTGTTTCCCCCTTTTGGACATGGCCTCAGACGCCACAGAATTCCATGGATGACACTTGCTCCTGTACCAGCCATCAAGGGTTCCATGCCTTAAGGTCACAAGCGGGTGGTGCGTGCTGTGCGTGTGTGGGTGTGTGTGTTTATATGTAAAATATTATTAGCCACGTAGCACTGTGCTGGGCACCTGACATACAATGCTCTATGCATAATTACTTGGTAAACCCTCATAACAAGCCTGTGAAGTAGGTATTATTACCCTTATTTTACAGATGAAGGAACTGAAACACAGGGTCAGTGGCTTGTCCAAGGCATCCCGCTAAGAAGCAGCAGAGCCAGGATTCAAACTGAGGCAGAACACATAACCAGATACCTCAAATCCTGTCCAGCCACATGGGTGGATTATGCTCTTCTTCATGATGGGACAGAGCAGAGACCGGGACCCTTGGGATGCCAGTCCTCGAATGCCCGTGTTACCGCAGTGACTGACGTCTTCTCTAGACTGAAGAATCTGCAACTGGAAAAATTGCATTCCTTCCTTTCCCAATTAAGTCCCCTGGGGTCGGGAGGAAGAACATAAGGGGCTACCCAAAAGGACACCTTTACCTGTTGTCTAAGCGAAGCGGCCTAGGGCTGCTGGGCTTGGCTGCCTGAGTGCTGGGGCTGCCTCCAAGCTACCTTGAGGACCCCATACTGGGTAGGCCTGGTGCTTTGTAACAATATGAAGCATCTTTGTTAAAAGCAGCAGCTGGAGCGGCAAGAACCAATCTTGGAGTCAATAAGGCTACTTCCGGTTTGAGTGTGGATACAGTTATGAGTTTGTTTTTATGCTGACCAAAGAAAAGAAGTCTCAGAAGACTAAATACCATACAATAACCTTTTAGTAATATTAACCAACAGCTCATGGTTACCGGTGGGGCAAGGAGTCACTGAATAGCACAGAGTGTTAAGCACTCCATTACTAGCCAAAAGGTTAGTGATTTGAATCCACCTAGATGCATCTCAAGAGAAGCAGTGCAGCAATTCTGCTCTGTACACCTGGGCAGAATGGCAACTAACAATGCTGGGTGAGGTGGGAGGATGAGATAGAGAAACAGTGTAGATTGATGTGAATTCATTGTCTTACGATTTTTGTGCTGGGTGGTGGATTCATAGGTATATATATATATATGTTTGTTTAAAAGTGCCATTTTTGGATGGGGTTAAATGCAACTTATAAATGATTCTAAATTCTCTTTTATACCTTTTATTCAGAAGCTTTGTTTTTACCATTTTAAAAAATTACGTCACCCACAGCAGCACACTTAACAATGTTTGTGTTCATTGCATTGGATGTTAGAGCCCCACAAGGCAGACAGGGTCTAGTTGAATTCTTGTAACTTCTTTCTAGTTCTTCTCGTCATATGTGAAGTTAATTCCCCACCAGGGTATCAACACCCTCTCATCCTTCAGTTCCTTTGCTACCGAAGGAAAATACTGAATGTGCTTTTGTACTGAGGACCCCAATGTGGAGAGAAGCGTGAAGTGCCATGGCTCCTTGTCATACAAGTAAGGAGAGGAGACAGTACACGTGATCACATGTCAAGGCACTATGCAATTAAGACCCAGTGGTCGTCGGTGGTAAGTAAGGTAGAAACCATACATCTCCCAGCAAAATAAAAACTCCGAAGCGTTTTAGTGTAGCAACAGTAAGTTGCTGGTCTCTTTAAAAGGAACAAGGTAATTTTTTTTTTCTAATCATTTTATTAGGGGCTCATACAACTCTTATCACAGTCCATACATACATCAATTGTATAAAGCGCATTTGTACATTCATTGCCCTCCTCATTCTCAAAACATTTCCTCTCCACTTAAGCCCCCCGCATTAGGTCCTCATTTTCCCCCCTCCCTCTTCCCTCATGAACCCTTGATAATTTATAAATTATTTTGTCATATCTTGCCCTGTCCAACATCTCCAACAAGGTAATTCTTGATTCAAAGAAACCCCTGTTAGGTGACCCAACTGAATATGAGTCTTGAGAATGCACCAAGCTTGCCTTTGTCCTTGGAAAAGGTAGTCAGTCGGAGGGTGATGGGGGAGGGTAACATGGAGAAGAAATGGAGAACAGCAAAATATCCATGGCTACGTGACACTGCAGGGGACCACAGTGTCTCAGGAAGCTGAGATGCTAGGTCTACCTTTCTTAGCCGCTCAGAGTGCCCTGTTTTTCTAGAGGCTGGGAGGCCTCTGCCTGCTACCACAGGTTTACAACTCTGACTCCGTGATGTAATTAAATCAGTTCCCTACACCTCATCTAAGCCTACAGTATTGCTCCTTTGTGAGGAAAAAGCCCAGTGGAGCTGGTGCTGATAGGATTGTGGAGCAGTTAGCTTGGCTAGATTATGAGGTAAATGTGTGAACAATAAGTGCATCTCAAAATACTTCCTCAGTATATTTTCCCCCAACAAGTTCCTCAGACCAGGCTTTTATTGGTTTAATTTTGTATTTGAGGTCTTTTATTATTCATAATTAGCAGTTTTTCCTATTGGAAAAATAACATCACACACATAGCAACATACTTAGAAAATTTTAACCCCCCCCTCAAACAGTCCTGTATAGGAAGGCAAGCATTTAACTTCTTCCTTATGATGAAGGGTAGAAATACAGCACCTTTTATGGCAAATTACTACTGTTGGCTCTGACTTACAGGTGACTACCTGACCCTGCACCTCCTCCATCATTGTGGGTGTGCCCAAACCCATTGGCAGGGCCAATGCATATTTTGAGTGCCTACAACCCTGGGAGCTTATCTTCCAGCCCCATGCTGGACAATCTGTTATGATCCATTAAGTTTTCCATGGACTGATTTTCAGAACTAGGTCTTGCCAGGTTTTTCTTCCTTGTCTATCTTGGTCTGGAAGTTGGTTGCAATCTATCCACCGTGAATGACTGAGTTGGTATTTGAAATGCCAGGGTCATCGTTTCCAGCATCCTAAGAACAGGCCAGCCCCCACAATCTGACCAGTGGAAGATGGTGATCCAAATTACAGTGTCTTTGTTTTTCTGGTTAAGGCATGTTGACTTTCTCCCCTTAACTTTGCTGTTACTATTCAAAATACACATGGCAAAACACATTCAACAATGTCTACATGTGCAAGTCCATGACATTGGTCACATTCTTTCCTGAGTTATTCCCACATGAACACAAGCTCTGCCCTTTTGGGTTCCGATCTCATCTCTTGAGTTGTCAATTTGATCCCATACAGATAGTTGATAATCAAGAGCCTAGTGCTCTGGACCTTTTTTTTTTTTTCCTTACCACTTAAGTTAAAACAACTCATTCAGTTCTGTGAAGACTGGGGGATATTTTTGGTTTAGAGTTTAAAGATTCGTTTCAGGGGTGCATCTACCCTCTCTGGCTACAGAAAGCCCAGAGGCATTTTGGAAATTATGTTCTGCATTCCCCCCACCTCTTGACCAGGATCCTTCTGTGTTCATTTGAAGGTTGAAATGTGAGCAGATTTAAAGGCAACTTTCAGGTGACCTCCTGGTTCCTGCCTCTCCAAGATGCTTCTTTTAGAATGAAGGCAGAATTAGGATAGTAGCGTGGGATGTTCACAAGATGTATGGTGAACAAGAATTGAAGTCTGAAAAAAGATTGATATATTTATCATTTGTAACTTAAGGGGATTTCAAAAAAAGTTCACGGGAAAATTCTGTTATCCTTTGATTCCATTTTCTCACTAGTTTTGAAGTCTACATATATGCCTGGGAGGCAGACACAATTCAGCATAGTGCTCCTCACCGAGCCCCCACTTTTCCCCTCCCTGTGGAAATTTTTAAGCACACTCAAAAGTGAACACAATTCTATAGTCACTGAATTCCCCCATACCACCTCTTTTTGTAAGTCATTTATGGGCCACCCCGTTTTGAACGTATTTTCTACTCCCGTGCTTATGTAAATGCAGTGCCTTATACTACAGCAGCAGTTCTCAACCTGTGGGTCTCAACCCCTTTGGGGGTCGAATGACCCTTTCACGGGTTGCCTAAGACCACCGGAAAACATAAATATTTCACAATATATAATTAGATAGTTTGTGATTAATCACTATGCTTTAATTATGTTCCATGTGTAACAATGAAAATACATCCTGCATATTTACATGACGATTCGTAACTAGCAAAATGACAGTGATGCAGTAGCAACGAAAATAATTTTATGGTTGGGGGTCACCACCACATGAGGAACTGATAAGGGTCGCAGTATGAGGAAGGTTGAGGCAACCACTGTTCTAGAGGGTCAGCATTGTGTGAGGCTCATATGAACAGGTAAGAGATCGTTGGCATGCTGAAAATGAAGTCCTTTGTGGTAATAACAGACCACCTTTACCAGTTAGTGCTTGGTTATCCTCTGAATCCCCTCTCCATGACCAAAAGATTGACGGGCCTTTCAAAGTTTCCCTGGGAACTCCAAATTCCTATCGAGGAAAAATAGAAGTATTTGCACATTTAATTACACTTTACCTATTTCAGAAAGAATTTCAAGTCCTGGGTGGTGTTGTGATTACCCGTTGGGCTGCAACTGCAAGACAGCAGTTCA